TTGTCTCCTTAAGTTCAAGCTATTTCAGATGGATGTGAAGAGTGCCTTCCTAAATGGGTACTTAAATGAGGAAGTATATGTGGAACAGCCTAAAGGATTTGTGGATCTAAATTGTCCTGATCATGTCTACAAATTGAGGAAAGCTTTATATGGTCTGAAACAAGCTCCTAGAGCTTGGTATGACAGGTTGACAGAGTTCCTCACTGACAAAGGATACAGGAAAGGAGGTTTGGATAAAACTCTTTTTGTCAAAAATGAAGGAGGAAAGATAATGGTAGCTCAAATTTATGTTGATGACATAGTGTTTGGAGGAATGTCAGATAAAATGGTTAAACATTTTGCTAACCAGATGCAAGCTGAATTTGAAATGAGCCTCATGGGAGAATTGACCTACTTTCTTGGACTGCAAGTCACACAGATGGAAGACTCAATTTTTCTGTCTCAAAGCAAGTATGCAAAGAATATTGTCAAGAAGTTTGGAATGGAGAATGTCAGTCATAAAAGGACTCCTGCACCTACTCATTTAAAGTTGTCCAAAGACACAAGTGGGGAAAATGTGGATCAAAGCTTGTACAGAAGCATGATAGGAAGTCTGCTATACTTAACAGCCAGCAGACCTGACATTGCTTTTGCAGTTGGAGTATGTGCAAGATACCAGGCTGAACCCAAAGTAAGTCACATCAACCAGGTGAAAAGAATTCTGAAGTATGTGAGTGGAACTTACAATTATGGCATGCTGTACTCTCATGGATGTGAACCAATTCTGTCTGGTTACTGTGATGCTGATTGGGTTGGTAGTGCTGATGATAGAAAGAGCGCCTCTAAAGGATGCTTATTTTTGGAAAATAATCTTGTCTCCTGGTTCAGCAAGAAACAAAACTATGTGTCTCTATCTACTGCTGAAGCTGAATACATAGCAGCTGGTAGCAGCTGTTCTCAAATGATCTGGATGAAACAGATGTTGACTGAGTATAATGTCACACAAGATGTCATGACATTGTACTGTGACAATCTGAGTACTATTAACATTTCCAAGAATCCTATACAGCACAGCAGGACTAAGCATATTGACATTAGACATCACTTCATCAGAGATCTTGTGGAGGAAAAGGTGATTAAGCTGGAACATGTTGCCACTGAACTACAACTGGCTGACATTTTTACCAAGGCACTTGATGCTAGTCAGTTTGAAAATTTGAGAGGCAAGCTGGGTATTTGCCAATATGAAGAGATGTAAAAATTAATTTTGCTTAAAACAAGGGATGAAAGAGATATTTTAGTCAAGTCTATTCTGATTGGGCTAATCATTTGTTTCCCTCTTTCTTTCCAAAATTTTAAGAAGTGGAATAGACACACTTATATCTCCCTCTTCTCTTTTTTCTACAACATTCTCCATTCCCTCAAAAGAAGATTTCACACACGCTGTCACCTATTTTCTTAATCTCTCAAGATGTCTCAACAATCTGTGTCATCATCTTCATCAAAGGCAACTGCATCTTCCTCACCCTCTGACACCGAACCTAGAGCAATCGTAAACTGCATAGATGCTGATGTTCTTGAGATAAATCCACTTCGTGAAATGGCAGCTGATCCAACTAAGGTCAAGAAGCTGCGAACCAGACATGCAAGAAGACCACAAGCTTCTCCATCTGGTAAATCTTCTCAACCATCATCTTCTGTTCCTCCAGAGATAGCTAATAGGGAAGGTTCTGCTTATGTGCATCAAGCTATTTCCAGACTAGTCACTAGGATTCTTAATGAGAATCACTCTGTTCCTGGCATATATGTACCATTGAACCAAGAAACTGCTAGCCCTAATGTAGAAAGGGATCCAGATGTCACTCAGAATGTTGAGACACCTGATGACAACATTGGGAAATCTCCAGAAAAACCTGATGTTCACCAGACCCCTACTGACAAGGCTGTTGAACCTCTTGTCATTGATGTTGATGAAGAATTCTCTGACAATGATTTAATTTCCAATATCAACCCTAGCATAGCTAGAAGGATGATGAGTAGAAAAGAGAAGCAGAATGCTGCCCAAAGCCCCTCCAAAGAGAAGGCTACTGATGTTGTTCATGAGAGTGTGAGGCCTGAGATCAAGGCTGAGAAGGCTGGAACTTCGAAAGGGAAGGGTAAGGTAAAATCTAGGGTATCTGTTGGTAGTCTCTCAAAACCCTTGAGACAACCTATAGCCAAGAAAAGAAAGGCTCTTGAACCCTCTGAATCTGATGAGGAATCATACTTTGATTTTGATGTTGAGAGCAATGTTCCAGACATTCCTCTCAAGAAGAAACCCTCTTCTAGAAAACTGCCTAAGGTTCCTGAAGTTGCCATTGACAACATCTCCTTTCACCATCCAGAAAATGCAAGCAGGTGGAAGTATGTGTTTCTGAAAAGGATTGCCTTGGAGAGGGAGCTGAACAGAAGTGCTATTGAGTGTAAGGAAGTCATGGATCTAATCAAAGATGCTGGCCTGATGAAAACAGTGGTCAAGTTTTCCAACTGCTATGAGATTCTTGTCAAAGAATTCATAGTAAATTTGTCTGGTGGTTGTGCTGATGGAAAGTCAGTTGATTTTAAGAGTGTTTATGTGAGAGGAGGGAAGGTAAATTTCTCTCCTACTGTGATAAACAAATACCTAGGAAGGCCTGATGATGCTCAACCTGAGCTTGAAGTTACTGACAACTAGGTTTGTCAAACCATCACTGCCAAGAAAGTCAAGCACTGGCCCTTGAAAGGGAAGCTAACTGCAAGCAAGCTGAGTATAAAGTTTTCCATACTGCACAAAATTGGTGCAGCTAACTGGGTTCCCACCAACCACAAATCCACCATTTCCACAGGTTTGGGAAGATTTATCTATGTTGTTGGAACCAGAACAAACTTTGATTATGGCAACTACATCTTTGATCAAACATTGAAACATGCTGAGAGTTGTGCTATTAAAGGCCCTATTGCTTTTCCCTCTCTCCTGTGTGGTATAATCATTGATCAATATCCTGATATCCTAGTTGAAAAAGACTCTGTGCAAAAGAGCCCCTGCACTTGGTTTTCACTATAAGCTATTTCAGGGAACACATGTCCCTGACATTGTCATGACATCTGCTGAGACATCAAATGTCAAAGATCATTCCAAGAAAACTGATGTTATAGTTGTTCTAAAAGAAACCTACAGAGAGCTTGATGCAAGAAAAAGGACTCTTGAAGAGCTGATTGCTAGTCTGGAACAGGAGGAGAATGACGAACAAATGAGGGAAGAGGATGCTGATGAAGAACAGCATGATGCTGCTGAAAATAATGCTTCCTCAGGGGATGACAGTACCTGAAGGTCTGTGTTTGATGAAAAGATTGGTGCTGGAACTTGTTGCTGCTAAATGATACCTTCTCTCTGTTTATTTTTTTTAATTTCCTTTTGGATGACTGTATAACTTAAAGTACTAGTACCTTTGGCCTCTTTATGGCTAAAAAGGGGGAGAAGAAATTGTGGTAATTTTGGTAGAATTAGATATTGGTAACTGTTATTAAAAATTTTTGCTGCCTTCTAATCTTTGATTGGTTAGGGGTTTTAGCCAAAAATTTGCCAAAGAGGGGAGTTTGTAAGTGTTTGTTTGTTGACATTATTTTTTGGTAAAATCAGATTTGCGAATGTCATGACTAATGTCATAACATTCTGGAATAAAGGTACATTCTGCAGAAGGAATGTTCTACAGGAACTACTCAGTATAAGTGATTATCATGATCATTAAGCTATGATCGTATGTACTAAATTCTACCAAAATCAGTGAGCAAGATACATGATTTCATAACCAATGTTAAGACATCCTGTACTGATCAAGTTGTTGTGCAGATTTATTATTCCTGAGAATTTTCAGGAAATTGGTGTGCTACTCTGAGTTGAAGAATTATTGTCCAGATCAGCTGCTCACGTGGACATTAGGTTAACCTTGCTTAACTCTAATCTGTTATGAAAAAGCCCTAGACCAAGTCTTTAGGTTAACTTTAGTTAACCCTAACTATTTTTATGGAAGCCCTAAATGAGGAATAGTCTTCTTATATATTTCTTACGAAGCCTAATGGACTGCAGCACTTTTGACAGAAGATCAATAAGGCATTATATAGTTGTAACTACTGTGAGCCAAGCAATTATCGTTTTGATAAGTGACTTGGAGTAGGATTTGGTTGTAAGGGTTGTTTATCACTCAAAGCTTTGAAGCACGAGTGTTTGTGTCTCTTGATTAAAGCTTTGAAGCAAAATCAAGTGTGTGTATTGAAGAATGTCTTCATAATCTCATTAATCAATAGATTAGTATCACTGTTGTGATTGAGAGGGAGTGAGTAGGAACTCAGGTTTAAGTAGGACTTAGATTGAAGTTGAATTGGGTAGGTCTTAAGTGAAGGAGATAAACTGGTTGGTTTATTCCTAAATTAACACCTCTTATAGTGAATTTCCTTCCTGGCTTGGTAGCTCCCAGAGTAGGTGTTGTTACACACTGAACTGGGTTAACAATTGATTGTGTTCTTTACTGTATTTTAAATTACTGTTTAGAGTGTGTACAAGTTTGTCAGATACGGTGTCATAACATTCACTGTGACATTAAGTATCTGTTGCCAGAATTTCACATGAGAAAGTTAAAAAAAACAGTTAACTAATTGTGTTCAAATCCAATCCATTTCCCCCTTAAAATCTCCCACACTTTTGATGCCAATTTCATCTCTCTCACCTATAAGTGAAGGGCTTAGTAACATAGAAAAATAGAAAAAATTTACTGATAGAGAAAAACAGAGAATTTTTTTTACTCATAGAGAAAAAAAGAGAAATTTTTTATTGATAGAGAAAATAGAAAAAAAAAACATAATAGAGAAAGGAGGTCTAAAAATAGATTCAATACGGAGGAGAGAGAACACAAAAAAAACCTCATACAAAAAATTCTCCAACTTCACACATAGAAACACATAAGAATCACATGGATATACACACCAAGAATCATTCAGAGACACTATCAAAACCTGCATACATAACCTGCCTCACAATGACAGTTCAAAACCTGCATACATACATCAATTTCCAACCTGTAAATTTTTTAAATTAGAAGCAATAGACGAAGAGAAGAGAAGCTGAACAGAAGACCGGTAATTATCGTCATTCGCGAGTACTACCACGTCTGATCTTGTCTTGATCTTCCTAGGAATCTCGATCGCCCCTCCAACTGTATCCTCACCGTCGATTCACACAACACCGATAACAATGAGCCTGCATATCAGAAATGCAACAACTACATCAAAAGCAAATAGCAACGCATCACCGACGTTCAATCCAAACACCGAAATTACCATCATCGCAGAAACACCTCTTCTCAAATCCCATAGGAGGGACTCCGATAGGTCCGTCGGCAGAAATCAAAAAGAAAATCATAAACAAGATGAGAAAGACTGGGAATTTTTTGTTTGATTTTTGAGAAAGAATATGGTGAGATGAGAAAGAAGAAGAGCCGAGATATGTTGTTTGGTAGATACAAAAGGTGCTTTGTTTTGTTGCTAATTTCTCTCAAAGTTATGTATGGTTTGTTTTCTCACTCTTACTGTTATGTTATGCTTGATTTTATTATTATTTGTTTTTTTATTTATAAGTAACTCTGCCACTTGGCACCATATAATTGGGTAAGATGAAAATAAAATGAACATAGAGAATGCCAAAAGATGCACCGCCTATATGATAGTATCACTTATTTCTTTTTAGTTTTTAATTTGCTTAGTTAAACCATAGTTTGAATATTAAGTTTTAGTAATTGGCTTATATCCTATTTGAAGCCTATGTTTATTTAGCATCCATCATTTCAACTCTACCACCCCTTTTTTTTTGCTTGACACCCCACGTTTTATTAGTTTAGTTTCATAATTTTCTTTACTTAATTATCTTAATTTCTTAGTTTAATTTTTTCTAGAGGGCAACCAAACTATCATGTTATAATTAATTAGATAAATTATTATTTTAAATTTAAAATTAATTTAGTACCTTTTAGAATTGAGATTTATGTTTAGAATTAATTTAGTAACCTTAGAATTTTAATTTAGTTTAATAAAATATTTTTAGTTAATTATTTAATTACATTCTCTTTCATTTGTATTTGATTGTCTTTTTCATTTTAAATTAAATTTCTCATTGCCTCTTTGTCATTATTTGTTTATTTAGATTTGTTTTCTTGTGGATCCGCGAATGCTTATGCTTTGATTATTGTGCTTTCATTGCTTAAATTCTAATGGAAAATGGTTAAATCAGTTGACTTTATATCATGAAATATATTTGTTACGATTGTGCGAAACCCTTTATATTTTTAATCTTAAAACAAATTTTCCTAAAAGACTCAATTTTAAAACTCACACCCCTTTTTAAGTCAAAACTTCAACATTAGATCGTCGTATCTTCCAAATCTCATTCACACTCTTTTTAACCAAACAAACAATTTTAACCAAAAAACAGATATTTCAAAAGGTTCTTGCGGAGTACCGCAGATGCATTGGATGCTAGTACCTTCCCTTTGTATAACCAACCCCCGAACCTTCAATCTCTTTCAAAAAACGTGTTGTATTTTCATTACTTTTAAGTATTACTTTACATTGCATATTTAAGGGTTTTATTTCGCTCTTTTACCTTGGAAATAATAAAGTGTGGTGGAGAATCTTGCTTATTTGAGAGTCAAGTTAATCAATAGCTTGATCTCCGATTTTCACCGCTACAGAATTGGCGACTCTGCTAGAGAACAAATTGACTTCTTGATGGTCCATCCCTAAGTGGGTTAAGCCTAATTTGTCATATATGTTTTTATTATATGTTTGTTTGATTATATGTTATATATTATGGTTATTTGGGTGTTGATGATACTTACAAAGGACAAGTCCTATACCCGAACTAAGTTACACTTAAGAATAGGACGAGCGGTATAGTCATGTTAGTTTTGAGGGAGTAATCCCGAAGAAGGAGACATGAAATCCCCCATCAGTGGAGGCTCCTTTGACTGTAGTATTCGTTTATCGAGTAATCAGGAAGATGTTACTGCTTTCGACCTGGGAGCCAGAGAAGCTGAGAGCCGTAGAACCCCTAACCCATCTTGGCCTTTTTAGATGTAGTGCGGAGACTATGACAGAGTAATCTTGAAGTAATTGTCACGCGATGCTGCACTCAGACGAGTTTTTCCTTCGAATATTACTAATTACCGAGTAATTGGGACGTTGGTAATATCCAAAGGAAGAATGTAGACTCTTGGAACCTCTTAGAACCTTGATCTATAGGTGATTTGAAGACCTTAGTCCATACCTTGTGGGTGGTCCTTACCTTTGACTCCAAGCTCGTGATGTTGAACCTTTCAACTTTGTTTGTGACCTTACTTGTGGTTGTTGCATAGCCATGCCTTCATGCATCCATGAAACCCCTTTTCACTTGATTTCCAAGAAATTTGGAAGTCTTTCTTTATAAACATCACAAGTTTCGTCAAGCTCAATGGATCTTAGGTGTTGATGGGGTGAAATCCCTAATCCACCAAAATGGATGATTGATCTTGATGATAACTTGATCAATGTTTTGATCCGATTTAAAATTCATCTTCTATCTTCATACTTTGATGTTTACTGAAACAACCAGCTGAACAATCAACTGATAATGAAATTAATGAATTCACCTTCGAACATTTTTTATCCTACAGGAAGGGAAAGGTAAACATCGAGTAAACCTAAGAAGGGTGAAATCAAGGTCAAACGATCGAGAGATCAGGTAAGGGAGTCAGTTACGCAAGGGGAAGGTATTAGCACCCCACACGCCCGCAATACTCTACGGTATCCACTCTTGTTGTCTATCTTATGGGTGTATTTCAAATCTATATCTAATATGTACAAGGAATGGATGCAAAAGAAAGGAGAAAATAATGTAGGGAAAATAAAAGTTGTTCTCGTTCGGGCCCCACCCCAATGCCTACGTATCCCTTTTTAGGAATCAGAGCAGCCGTAGTTCGGATCACATATTTCGGTTTGTTTTATGTTTTTTAATTGAACAATGTTAGGTTCAAATCAATCCACCGTGGGTCAACCTTTGGAGACTCACGACCTGTAGTGGGAGGGAACTAACATGTTATTATAAAAGAAATGTTGATTGGCAAAAATAAAGGTGTTTGTTTGTCTTTTTTACCTTGAGAAAGGATTTGAAAGTTTTAAGTGTTTCATGATTTGCAAAGAAAAAGAAAAGAAAGGTTTTTGTTTTATTATGAAAAGGATGCACACAAAAAAACATCTAAGGGAGACTAACCTAAATTTATCCCTAATGTTATCACACAAATGATTGACCCTAAAGTTGAGTTTTGAAGGGGAAACTCTAACTTATGTTCACATGCATGGATAACAATCCTAATGTCTATCTCAAATCATCATCTATATATGAATCAAGAAGGCCTAAAGGAGCATAGCAAGGGCTATCACCTAAAACTATGTCTATCTCGAATCATCATCTATAGTTGAAACGAGATCTCCTAAGGGAACATGCCGAGGGTAAATCATCTCAAAACATGCACACGAAACAATATGTCGTGAGCAGCATATGCTAACTCAAGTCAAATGCCTAACCATGATATGGACGATCAAGGTAGGTATAAAATTAGGTAAGGATGCTTTAGCCAAGGGGTCATATCAACCGAGGCAAACAAGCGGGGAGAGGATAGAAGAAAATAGCAAGGAGCATCAATGTCGACCAACGCGAGCTCAAGATAAAATGTGGGGGATTAATTACAAATTCCTTTTCCACTTGACAACTCGATAACCATGATCTACACAACTCCGAAGCATCGACGTACAACGTGAGCTAAGGATGACATGGACTAGAATGTGCGGGGGTCGATTGCGCACCCTCCGCACTTGCCTACTTTTGAGGACTTATTATTTGTAATAATGCATGCACAAATGTAAACACACATGTGGAATACCTACTTCAAAGTTAGGATTTTAACCAATCACAATTAGCATACAGAAAATGGTGCCTGCTATAGGTCTTTAAATAGATGCTTCGACCGCACGCTCTTTATTTTCTGCTTCCTACTTCTCATGATCTTTAGAAAGAAATAAAGAATTTGATAACGAATGCGGTAAAAAGGTATGAGAGAAATACCAAACGGATAACAATCCGTATCAAGCAGGCAAAAATAAGAAACCCGAAAAACTTCAAGCAAGCTGGCATCAACAAATAAATTCGGTGAGAATATGCGTCGAGGTATCAATAAGCAAGATTAGAATGTGTAGCGAACACATCCGTATCACAACATTCCTGCACAAAATGCAATTAGGAAAACCAAGAACGGAATGTGTATCGACACATCCGTATTCTCGAGCACCTACACAAAATACAACTATACAAGATACGGGGAACAAGACAATGGCATGTGCGTCGAACGCAAAAATTGGACCATAAATCGATAGTCCAAACGAGTTTTCTGATCAAATAATCGAGTAATAATTACATGATCAAAAACCATCCAAATGTACCTTGCACAATCAACACACATGTTAAAAATAACAAGGAAAATTAAAGTATAAAAGAGTAGGAATAAATTTGGAGCAAACAATAGCCAAAGCAAAGCCAAAAAAGAAAAAAACAACAATTTAGAAAAGATGCATCAACCGTAACAGGATATGCATCAACTCATGCTCAAGATTTTTCTCAATTTGGGTCGACCGCTAGGTCGGCACGACACTTCCCGCAGGTGACCAGAACTGTTTGCGTCAACTCAAAAAGGCTATGCGTAGACTCATGCCCAGGATTTTCTCAGTTTACGTCAACCGCTGGATCAATGCAACACCTCCCGCAGTTGACCAAAACTGTTTGCGTCGACTCAAAAAGACTATGCGTCGACTCAACTGCAGTCTTGTTCAATTGAAACTTTGAAGCAACATAACTTTTGCATCGAGTGTCTGTTTCGCGCATGGTTCGAATCGTTAGAAATCTTAAAAATTATAGAATATCCACGACACGAAACGGAAACCAAAACAACAAAAATTATATGACAAATTCTCCCATCTCAGCACGATCGACATGTGAATTCATGATCCAATTTCATGAGTTTCGACGTAATTTTCATCCGATTGAAAACCAAATTCACATCAATTATGCTATGACCATAGCACAAGGAAATTTGTGCGCAACCAAAAATCAATTGAATCACGCGGTAAGATTAAGGCACAATGGCTCAAGTATTTTGTCAAACACATAATCTCCAAAATTCAACTCATGATCTCTGCATAATTAGAGATCCAAATTATATCACACATAATCAATCAAGAATCATCAATTAAGCTTGAAACAACTTCAACATTATATTTTCTCAAATAAGCACTTTCATGAAAATCAATTAATTGAATAAGCACTTATTTAATCATTCA